TAGGACGGGATACCAAGATTCGCGAACACCTGGCGGGCCCATATCACCGAACCTTTCGGATGACGACCCCATTACCAACGGGTATCGTCCAGTAGTGCATGCCGAAACCGATGCTTGTAATGTGCAGGTAGACCGCGGCCAAGGCGATGAGGAGTGCCTGACAGACGATATCAGAAAGGATTTCTTGGAGAGTTGGGGTCAGGTACCGCCGCGAGGATGGTCATGTAGTCGTCCCTCCATAGACCACCCGCATACTGTTTGCTCGTGAACAGACGAAGCGTCACGATGAACAGCACAAGACTGCAGCTGATGATGAGCGTCCGTCGGACTTCCGTCCTTCGCGACGCTTTGGGGTACCCTTCGCACAGGGCTCCCTCTACCGTTGCTGCAGCTTCAGAAGGTCAGATGAGCTTCCAGAGAGGAAACAGCGGGGCGAACTTAGTTGATCGTCAAACGGGCAGTTCGTCTGCACACATGTCGAAAGCTCCGATTGGACAGCAATGTCGAGACAGATGCACGCGGTCACGTCTTCTGGATCGCAGGCCGACGTGATGAATGTGCTGCTGATGCACTCGGACTAGATGATAGATGCTTTAGCGCGACGAAAGCCTGGCTGATGCCACAATCACTCACAGCACACGACGGGACCTGCGAGAGGATCTCGGCGGCCGACGCTGCATTCACGGCGGCGACAGCAAGCTGGAGGACCAGCACTCCGAGAGTCCAAAATCGATGAGACATTGCACATGAGACGTCGACGAGAAGCTCGGAGATGCTTACGCAGACGTTGGCGACGGTGTCACCGGTGTTTCGACGCTGGCCGAGGTAGCATCCTGCAACTGGAGGTCGCTCCGCTGCGGGAGAGATTCAATGAAATAGAGAGAACGTGTACGGCACGAAAAGACACTTCTGGTTCTGATCGTAGTACAGTCGACGAAACTTGCTTCCTGCGCTGAGGCGTCAATGAGAAGAAGCCGGTCACGCCGCTGGTGGGCAGTTTGCGGACGAATCTCTCGTCTTATGCCTCCGGTCTTTCGCTGCGAGTTTCGCAGTACTGTCAGGCTTCGTCTCTCGATGTTTCGTGCTTTGCAACCTGGCTTAAAGGTGACTGGGTGATTCAGGACTCCATGCAAGCCATCACCGGCAACACCAATGCATCGCATATGCCACGGCCTCAAGGGTGGGATCTTCGTTGCGCAATACAGGGCACAGGACATGGCATGCAGAACACTCCCTGGACGTTTGGGAGATACCGGAGCAGGTCATCTCTTGACACGCAATCGACATGGAAGGAATATGAAGGAATATGAAAATTGCCAAGGATAGTTATGAGAGAATTATTGAATAACACACGCCCATGCGTAATGAACTCGGCAACTACTCTATATCTACTCTATATCGCTATCGTCTTCTTCTGCACCAGGCCCGTAACTTTCGTCTGAGACGTCTGAATCACCATGATCGTCG